TCAACTGCTTTGACATCTTCGAAAGAGAACATTTTAAATCAGGTGGGATCGGAAATTTTTAATTCACCCTCTGGAAATATGCAACAGCAATCTGGTGAGTCCATTCAGATCCATTCTAATGAATTTCGTCTGGTAAAACTTCCCACATTCTGGCACAAGCAACCTAAATTGTGGTTTGCTCAAGTCGAAAGCGAATTTTTGGTATTTCGTATACGTTCCGAAGAAATAAAATATAGTACTGTTATCCGTCATCTCGATGAAAAGGCATTAATTGTCGTTTCGGAAATTGTTGAAAATCCACCCGAAAATGATAAATATAACGCTTTAAAATCGGCGCTCATTAATCGCTTCACGGATTCAGAAGAAAAACGCTTACGTCAATTATTAGCCGGAATTGAATTGAATGATAAAAAACCAACGGAGCTTTTACGAGAGATACGCCAATTATCCGGTGGATCTTTAGCGGATAATATTTTACATTCACTTTGGCTTCAACGTTTGCCATACAAAGTTCAAGCGACTTTAGCTGTTGTTGAGGACGTACCCTTAATCAAGCTAGCTGAACTCGCTGATAAAATAGTCGAACGTGATACCGGGTATCAAATAACCGAAGTAAATACTTCTTTAAAATCAAAGCAATCGGATCTTGCCGATTTAGAAAAAAGAATTGCTGCGCTGGAAGTTTTTCGTCGTCGCGGTAGATCTTTTAGTCGATCTCGAAGTAAAACAAGATTAAGATCTAATTCAAAAGATAAAAAGTCGGATTCTAAGGAACAAATTTGTTTTTATCACAAGAAATTTGGAGATAAAGCAAAGAAATGTACAATTCCTTGTACTAAGTCAAAAACTCTTTGTCTCACTGATTCAACGGAAAACTAGAGATACCGTTGAAGATAGAGGCAACTCGCAACGGTTTACCTTGTCATCGCCTCGTTATTTTTGACAAGTCGTCTAATTTACAATTTCTTGTTGACACTGGTGCTGACATTTCTTTGCTTCCCAAGAAAATATTATACAAACCGTTATCAACCAATTTAAAACTTTTTGCTGCTAACGGAACACACATTGATACTTATGGATCTAAAACTCTTTCCGTGGATCTTGGTCTCAGGAGAATTTTCCGTTGGAAATTTTGCGTGGCGGACATACAACGTCCCATTTTAGGCGCAGATTTCCTCGGACATTTTAATCTCCTTGTAGATGTTAAAAACAAACGTCTAATTGATTCCTTAACAGGTCTTAAAAACTGTGGAAAGATACAAGAAGTTTTGCAATTATCAATTTGTACCACATCTCCAGATTCTTCTTTTCACAAGATTTTAGCAGAATTTCAAGGACTTACTCATTTTGCCCCTCTTTCATCGGTAAACTCACATGGAATTGAACATCGGATTGTTACGGAAGGTCCTCCGAAATTTGCAATTCCCAGAAGACTTTCTCCGGAGAAACTGAAGTATGCTAAAGAAGAATTTAAATTCATGATGGACCAAGGTATTTGTAGACCATCATGCAGTACGTGGGCAGCACCTTTACATATGGTTCCAAAAAAGGAAAATGTATGGAGACTTTGTGGAGATTATCGTGCGTTAAATTCGGTCACTGTCCCTGATCGATATCCATTGCCTCACATACAGGATTTCACTGCGGAGCTCTACGGTAAGAATATCTTTTCTAAGATTGATATGGTTAAAGCGTACTATCAAGTACCCGTTGCAAAGGAAGATATTCCTAAGACCGCTGTAACTACACCTTTTGGACTTTTCGAATTTTTGGTTATGCCTTTTGGTCTTCGTAACGCAGCTCAAACTTTTCAGAGGTTTATGAATATATTGTTAAATGATTTAGATTTTGCATTTTGCTATCTTGATGATATTCTCATAGCTTCTAGAGATGAGTCAGAACACATAGCTCATTTGCGGATTGTTTTTGATCGTCTACAGAAAGCTGGATTGTCACTTAATGTTTCCAAATGTCTTTTTGGTCAAAAAGAAATTACTTTTCTCGGATATCTTGTCTCTAATCAAGGAATCAAACCTACAGAACAAAAAGTCAAATCAATTATCGACTATCCCAAACCTAAGACAATACATGATTTAAGAAGATTTATTGGTATTATTAATTATTATCGTCGTTGCCTTAAAAACGCAGCTGAACATCAAGCATTACTTACAAACTTTTTGAAGGACAGTCGCAAGAGAGATAGGAGAACTATTCCTTGGTCTATGGAGACAGAAGCAGCTTTTCAGAATTGCAAAGAAGAACTTCTCCGTGTGACTACTCTCTCTCATCCTGCTCCTCAAGTTCCTTTGATTCTTACTTGTGATGCTTCTGATTTCGCTGTAGGAGCATCACTTGAACAATCAATTGAAAATGTCAATAAACCAATTGCATTCTTTTCTAAAAAACTTGATAAAACTCAAAAGAACTACAGTACTTACGATAGAGAACTTTTAAGCATTTATTTAGCAATTAAATATTTCAGATATTTGCTTGAGGGACGACAACTCATTATTAGGACAGATCACAAACCTTTAATTTATGCTTTTCTTCAGAAACCTGACAAAGCTTCACCTAGACAAATTAGGCAACTGGATCTTATTGCTCAATTCTCTACTAATATTGTCCACATTTCAGGCAAGTTAAATTCTGTAGCTGATGCTTTATCAAGAATTGAATCAGTTTCAATGCCAATCATTGTCTCTCTGGAAGAATTAGCAGAATTTCAAAAGGATGATGAAGAACTTCAAGATCTCCTTTCTTTGAACTCTTCACTTCAATTAAGGAAACTTATGCTTACTGGTTCATCTGTACCTATATATTGTGACTGTTCCTCTGAGTTAATTCGTCCATACGTTCCTAAACCTCTTCGTAAGAGAATTTTTGATGTAGTTCATGGCCTCGCACATCCCAGCGGTAGAACTACAGCTAAACAACTTCTACAGAAATTTATTTGGCCGTCATTGAATAAAGACGTTAAAGAGTGGTCTCGCTCTTGCCTACCTTGTCAACGTTCCAAAATTTCAAGACATACAAAAAATGTCCCTGTTAAAATTGCGGTTCCTGATCAGCGTTTTCAACATGTTCATTTGGATTTAATAGGCCCTCTTCCTTCTTGTCAAGATTTCCGTTATTGCTTAACAATAATAGATCGATTCTCGAGGTGGCCTGAAGCTATTCCACTTAAAGAAATAACTGCTGAAACAGTTTCGACAGCTTTCTATTCTCATTGGGTGGCTAGATATGGATCTCCTATAACTATTACTACAGATCAAGGCCCACAATTTGAAGCATCTCTCTTTAAAGCATTAACTAATTTGATTGGATGTGATCGCAAGAGAACTTCTGCTTATCATCCAGCTTCAAACGGAATTCTGGAGAGATGGCATAGGACTGTTAAGACTGCAATTATGTGTCATCAGACGAAGAATTGGTTGGAATCTTTACCTACTGTTCTTCTTGGTCTTCGTTCGTGTTTCAAAGAAGATTTGAAAACTTCACCTGCTGAATTACTCTATGGAACTACTCTTCGGATTCCTGGTGAATTCTTTATTGAGGAAGATTTTCCAGCAGATCCTGAAATATTTTTAGAGAAACATAGAATACATATGAGGAATATTAGATCTTCTCCTACCCATCATCACTCCAAAAAATCACCTTTTGTACACAAAAATCTTTACGATTGTACTCATGTTTGGCTTCGTGAAGATGCTGTTAAGAAATCTCTTCAAGCACCTTATTCTGGTCCTTTTCTTGTTAACAAACGAATTTCTGATTTTTTGTTTACTATTGACATTTCAGGAAAATTGGTCAACGTCTCAACGGAACGTCTGAAACCAGCCTTTTTTCCCAAGGAAGATTCTTCTGTTCTTCATTCATCCTCTTCGAGTACTTCGTCTACATCTACATCTACAACCACATCTGTTGTACCATCAGTTGTACCTGCAGTTCCTACAACCACATCAGTCATGGATGATCATAGTACTTCTTCTACTGCTTCTTTCGGAAAACCACTACGAACTTACCCAGCTAAGAAGAAAGTCCATTTCGCAACGTAGTCGTCGCTTGGGGGGGAGTACTGTGGCGTTACTGCAGCATTAACTATAGCATTTTTACATCTACACTTACACCACATATACACTTACACCTTATACGTTTTTACACCTTCGTTACTATGTTACAGACCATTTGTTTATTAAACAAATACATCTTTTATTGCTTTCACTTTTTATTGTAATTTCTCATTGATAACACGTATTAATAAAAGCTCTTAAAAAAGTTATCGTTTGTGGACAAATATTACTACACCTTCACCGTTAAAATCAAACACGTTAATAACGAACCCTAATCATCAATTCTTACCCGATCCTGAATATTATATCCCGGATCAAAACCAACCAATTACATCGCCAGAGTACGATCCCATTTTACAATTTAACAACGAACAAACCTTTCACATTCTCAACGAGGACACTGCCAGTCTCACTCACGACGTCAATAACGTCATCCCTGAGGAAGCGCAAGATAACTTCACTTCTTTCATAACTTACCTCAACCAGCCTAACAATCGCGGAACTGGAGCTCAGTCATATTGTAACTCAATTTCAAGCTCCCCACGAACCACGTCAGGACCAATAAATTTTATATCAATAGAAAGGTTTTATAAATGAATAAATGACATTATACTTGTAAATATCTTTATTTATCGACCCGACCCGTCAGGTTCCTTCTCTGTCCGATACTCTCAATCAAATCTCAAGCTCTCGGCTTCCCTGGGTATAGCCGGCCTAGCAGGTTGCCCATAAAACAAATAGAGAGCAGCTTCTTAAACGTCCACCGAGGTAGACGCGAGAGAAGACCGTCTTGTGCAAAAAGTAATTTATCGCCAGATGAATTATTGGACGTAACAATCTCTCCGCGTCTTCGTCGCGTCCGGCGTCTTCTGTGCTTTGCAGTTTAAGTGTGTGCGCGACCGGGGTGTCCTGTGACCTGTAACAAACAAAATGGGCATGGATAAATTGATCGACGCTCAACATGAACTTCACGTGCGTATATTACGTAGTGTCGACAATTTACGAAAAATTGGGGCGGCCAAGCTGAACGTGGACACCATCCAAGCTGCGATCCGCTTCCTGGACGACAAGTGGACCAGATTTCAGGAGCTGCACGAGGAGCTCCGCGACAAATACTGGAAGGAGATAAAGGAAGATGAGTACACCTCCGACGACCTTCCAAGCAAGGTCGAAACGGCGTATTACACGCAACGCTCCGAACTCGCCGAGATGGAGGAAAGGCTTTCCAAGCCGTCGGAAGCTGACACCTCCGAGAAGGCTCGAGGAAGCGCGCCGTCCCGCAAGACCCTGCCACGCATCAATCTGCCTCAATTCAGTGGCAAGTTCGAGGATTGGCCAAGCTTCCGGGACCTGTTCTGCTCCATTATCCTCGGGGATCCATCCTTGACTAAGATCGAGCAGCTGCACTATCTCAGGACAAGTGTCAAGGGCGACGCGGAGCAGCTCATTCGGAACTTGCCCTCTACGGAAGACAACCTGGAACAGGCATGGGACATGCTGACGACATATTTCGAGAACAAGCGCCTCCTCGTGCGTTCCTACCTGACGACCTTCACATCGCTGCCGAGGATGAAGGCTTTCTTGCCCGACGGCATCCGTCGAATCTTCCACGGCGTACTCACCACAGTCGGCGCTCTGAAGGGCATCGGGCGTCCGATAAGCGACTGCACCGACCTTTTTGTGCACCTGGTCGTCGAACTGCTGGACGCCGAAACTGGACGCGAGTGGGAGAGTTCGCTCGGCAAGTCTGCCGAGCCGCCGTCGTACGACACGCTCCGGGAGTTCCTGCAAGAGCAGCTGATGACCTTGGAGGTCCTCCAGTCCACCAGGCCCGGACCATCTGGCAAGCCCTTGGAGAAGTCCAACCGCGCCGCTCGCACAAGCCACGTGGGGAGCAAGGAATCAGACCCGAGCCGCAGCTGTCCGCTCTGTAAGAAGGATCACTTCATCGCGTACTGTGAGCTGTACAAGAGAAAAACAGTGGCTGAAAAAAGGAGGCAATCAATGCTCACTAACGGTGCTGGAACTGCCTGGGTCGGCATCTCCTTGCTGATTGCACGTCCTCCAAGGTGTGCATGAAGTGCTCTGGCAAGCACCATTCGTCTCTTCACGACACCTTCACCGTTGTGGCTCTGCCTGCTGCCGGACCATCTTCCGCGGTGACGACCCACGTGGCCAGGCGACCGCCGGTGAAATGCCGATCAGCGCTTCTGGCAACCGCGCGCGTGCTGGTGGCTGATCGCGCGGGCACTCGCTACGACGTCCGCGCCCTGATTGACCCGGGTTCGAAGACATCACTGATCGCGGAATCTCTGGCACAACGCCTTCGCCTGCCGCGGACTCCCTCCTCAGTGGCCATCTTCGGAGTAGGTGGCATCCAGTCAGGCGTCTCTCGAGGGCAAACAGCGATCACCATCTTTTCGCGCGACGGGCATTTCGCGCTCGCCGCTTCGCCTCTCGTGCTGCCGCGCCTAACCGTGTACGGCGGCATTCCTGAGGGAGAAGCACGCTCATGGCCGCACCTTGAGGACCTCGACCTCGCTGATCCTGAATTCCACCGCCAGGATCCCGTGGAACTACTGCTCGGTGCGGACGTGTACCTGGATCTCGCCATGCCGGAAGGTCTTCGTAGAGGAGGGCCGCAGGAGCCAGGAGCGCTGCTGACGCGCTTCGGATGGGTGCTGTTGGGCGCCATTGGGACCTGCCACATCACGAATCCCGTGTCGTCGTTGCAATGTACCACAATAGAGGACCTTGCCGAGCTGGTGCGTCGTTTTTGGGAAACGGAGGAGCCTCCCCGTGCCGTCCTTCCGCTGACCGCTGACGAGCAGGAGTGCGAGGACCACTTCTTGCGCACCCATCAACGACTATCAGACGGCCGCTATCAGGTGCGGCTCCCGCTGCGATCGAGGTTGCCGGACCTAAGCTCCACCCGTCGCGCCGCATCACGTCTCCTCGACGTCATGAGGCGTCGCTTCGACCGCGACACAACTTCGGGGTGCTGTACCGCGACTTCATGCGCGAGTACATCACCCTCGGGCATATGACGCTCGTTGCCTCCACTGTGGCTTCACCAGGTGATCGGATCAATTTCTTGCCGCATCATGGGGTGCTGCGGACTTCGGCTGCCGGTTCCAAGATTCGCGTCGTCTTCAACGGATCAGCTCGCACGTGCGCCGGGGCGTCTCTCAACGGTGTGCTGCACTCTGGACCTAACTTGCTGCCGTCTCTCGCTGATGTCTTGACTCGATGGCGGCGGCACCGGTACGTCTTCATGGCCGACGTTCAAATGATGTACCGGCAAATTCAGCTTCATCCGGACGATCGAGACCTACAACAGATCCTGTGGGCAGAGAACAACGGGGTCAGCGAGTACCGGCTAAATACGGTCACGTATGGCTTGGCGAGCGCACCATACCTCGCCATACGAGTGCTGCGGCAGCTTGCGTCAGACGAAGCCAACCGTTTCCCGCTCGGTGCCGACGTCCTGCAGCATGACGTGTATGTGGACGACATACTCACCGGAGCTGCTGACCTGGACTATGCTTGTTGCCTCCTGGGACAAGTGACCTCGCTCTGCATGGCGGGCGGCTTTCCGCTGAGAAAGTGGGCCTCTAACGATAACCGCCTCCTGGAGTTCATCCCTGTCGAGCATCAACTAGGCACGACGACCGGCGCGAGGTTATCTGCAGACGAGCATTCGGTGCTGGGTCTTTGCTGGAATCCGCACGAAGACACCTTCTCGTTGTCTGTCCGGCTGACTCCATCGGCCCCACCTACCAAGCGGACCGTGCTGGCGCAGACCGCTCGCCTGTTCGACCCGCTGGGCTGGCTAGCACCAATCCTCGTGCGTGCAAAGTTGCTGATCCAGTCGGCGTGACTGCAGCAGTTCGAGTGGGACGCACCGCTATCACGCGAGGACACCGTCGCATGGACAGCCCTCGAGGAGGAATTGCCGGTGCTGGAAAAGATCAGACTGCCACGTTGGCTGCACAGCAACACTCCACGCAGCCCCGTGGAGCTCCACGGCTTCTCGGATGCCTCCGAACGGGCTTACGCTGCTGTGGTCTACAGCAGGGTGGAGGATGGCGGACTGCCCCGCATCAACCTGGTGGTCGCCAAGAGCAGAGTGGCCCCGTTGAAGCGTGTATCGCTGCCGAGACTAGAACTCTGCGGAGCGGCTCTGCTGTCAAAGCTAGCAGAACATGTGCGGCTCTCCTTGGGTCTGGAGAGGTCGGCGGTCACCCTCTGGACGGATTCTACGGTGACACTTGGCTGGATACGCGGACACCCTGCAAAGTGGAATACGTACGTAGCCAACCGCGTCGCTGAAATTCACCGCGACAACCAGGATGCAAGATGGCGGCACGTACCTGGCAAGTGTAGCATTCATCATCCACACCTTTCATTTACACTCTACACTTTTATTACACCTTACACTTTTCACTGCACTTTTACACTTTTTACATCTTTATACATTTGTAATAACTTCAATTCATTAATATACATAATGTTTTTAAGAAAAATCAATATTTCCATAACAACACATTCATTCATTTATTTGTTACATATTAATTCTTTTTGTTCTTTCGCTTTATACTTTCAATGAATAAACATTACTTTTTCAAAGATCTGGTGAATTTATTTATAAGTCGCTACATTTTGGTGACCCCGACGTGATATTAAAGCCGACGTGATATTAAAGCCGACGTGATATTAAAGCCGACGTGATATTAAAGCCGACGCATTTTAAAGGCTGATGCGGAATAAGTGCCAAGTGATCGTCGTATTTGAAGTCTGCGAAATATTATCATCGCTTGGAAGAATTGCTGGATATTCTGATTTTAAGAGATTCATTCTCCGGATCTTTGAAACATCAGAGGCGGATTAGTCCTTCACGGAAATTCTCAAATCATTTTATCGGATTCCTGGAACAAGAGGAAAATGCCAATCGATAGATCACCAGTTAGACCCTGTTCGGATACACAGATTGATATGGATTTGGCGAGCGGATCAAATCAGGTTGGATCAGAAAATATTAATATTTTACCTTCTCAAACTGGACATCAGGTGAGTGATCCTATGTTACAAATTCACTCAAATGAGTTTCGTTTATTAAAACTACCGACTTTCTGGCATAAACAACCTAAACTCTGGTTTGCTTCTATTGAAAGTGAGTTTACGGTTTATCGAATTCGATCAGATGATATTAAATATAGTTCTGTCATTCGTCATCTTGATGAACAAGCCTTAGTAAACATATCTGAAGTCATTGAAAATCCACCTAAAACAGATAAATATAATTATTTAAAGAAAATATTAATAAATCGCTTTACGGATTCAGAGGAAAAACGTTTGAGACAAATATTAGCTGGAATTGAACTTAATGATAAAAAGCCTTCGGAATTACTTCGAGAAATTCGTCATTTGTCTGGAGGATCTTTAGCAGATAGTGTTTTGCAAATGATTTGGCTTCAACGCTTACCACATAGAATTCAAACGACTTTAGCCGTAGTAGAGGATGTTCCTCTTGTTAAACTTGCGGAATTAGCCGATAAAATTGCTGATCGGGACGGCGGTTTGCAAGTCGCGGAAGTTTCCAATAATACAAGTAATAAATCTTCGGATTTCGCGGATTTGCTACGAAGAATCGAAGCTCTTGAAGTTTCTCGTCGTCGAGATCGTTCCAAAAGCCGGTCTAGAGAGAATAGAAGATTTAGATCGTTATCGCGTAAGAAAGACAAATCAAATAAAGATATTAAAGATACATCAATTTGTTTTTACCATAAGAAGTTTGGTGATAAGGCTAAACGATGTACTTTACCTTGTTCTATGTCCAAAACATTCTTGGCTTCACAGGAAAACTAAAAACGCCGCTTAAGACTGAGGCTGCTTACGACGGTGTTTCTAACAATCGCCTCATTATTTTCGACAGACATTCAAATTTGAATTTTCTTGTCGATACGGGCGCTGATATATCGTTGTTACCTAAAAAGGTTTTATTGAAGCCGTGGCATACTAATTTAAAACTTTTTGCCGCAAATGGTACTCAAATTAATACTTACGGTTCTAAAACTTTAATTTTGAACCTCGGTTTAAGGAGAGAATTCAAATGGAAATTTTGTGTCGCGGATATTCAACGTCCTATTTTAGGCGCCGATTTCCTTTGTCATTTTAATCTCCTAATTGACATTAAAAACAAGAAATTGATTGATAATGTTACCGGTCTTATGAATACTGGAAAAATTCAAGAAGTTGCACATTTGTCAATTTTTACCACATCTCCTGATTCTGTGTACCACAAATTTTTAACCGAATTTCCAGGACTCACCCGTTTTTCTCCAATTTCCTCGGTAAAAACACATGGTGTTGAACATCATATCGTTACGGAAGGTTCTCCTAAATTTTCGACTCCCAGAAGACTTACTCCTGAGAAACTTAAATGTGCCAAGGAAGAATTCAAGTCTATGATGGAGCAAGGAATTTGCAGGCCTTCAAGCAGCTCCTGGGCAGCCCCTCTACATATGGTACCTAAAAAGGAACAAAATTCTTGGAGACTGTGTGGTGATTATCGTGCACTCAATTCAGTGACTATCCCGGATCGTTATCCCTTACCTCATATTCAAGATTTTTCTTCTTCACTTTTTGGTAAGAATATCTTTTCTAAAATCGACTTAGTTAAAGCGTACTATCAAGTACCCGTCGCTAAAGAAGATATTCACAAAACAGCTGTCACTACTCCATTTGGGCTTTTTGAATTTGTCGTAATGCCTTTCGGTTTACGAAACGCAGCCCAAACTTTTCAACGGCTCATGAACTCTTTACTTAATGATTTGAGTTTTGCCTTTTGTTATCTTGATGACATTCTTATTGCTTCTAAAGATGAGAAAGAACATATTGCTCACTTACGCATTATTTTTGATCGTCTTCAACAAGCTGGAATGACAATCAATGTCGCTAAATGTCTTTTCGGTCAAAGCGAGATTTCTTTTCTTGGTTACTTAGTTTCTAACCAAGGAGTTAAACCTACATCCGAAAAAGTGAAATCAATTATTGATTATCCTAAACCTAAGACACTTCATGAATTACGCAGATTCTTAGGAATTATCAATTATTATCGTCGCTGTCTCAAGGATGCTGCAAATCATCAAGCTCTGTTAACAGAATATTTAAAGGACAGTCGCAAGAGGGATAGAAGAATTATTTCTTGGACTAAAGAAGCGGAATTAGCTTTCGAGTCATGTAAAGAAGAACTTTTACAAGTTACTACCCTTTCTCATCCTGCTCCTCATGCTCCTCTTATTTTAACTTGTGATGCTTCTGACTTTGCTGTTGGTGCATCACTTGAACAGTCTATTGACGACGATATCAAACCAATAGCATTTTTCTCAAAGAAACTAGACAAAGCTCAAAGAAATTATAGCACTTATGATAGAGAACTTCTTAGCATTTATTTGGCTATTAAACATTTCAGGCATTTTGTTGAAGGAAGACAACTGATTATCAGAACTGATCATAAACCTTTGATTTTTGCTTTCCGTCAGAAATTGGATAAAGCGTCACCAAGACAGATCAGACAATTGGACTTTATTGCTCAATTCTCTACAAATATTACCTATATTTCTGGAAAAATGAATTCAGTTGCTGATGCTCTGTCAAGAATTGAATCTATTTCAATGCCTATTATAGTTTCTTTAGAAGAACTTGCTAATTATCAGAAAGAAGATGAAGAACTTCAAGTTTTACTTTCTTCAAATTCTTCACTTCTGTTGAAGAAACTTATTCTTTCAGGATCAACCATACCTATTTATTGTGATTGCTCTTCGGAATTAATTCGTCCATATGTTCCTAAACTCTTACGCAAGAGAATTTTTGATGTTGTTCATGGACTCGCTCACCCCAGCGGCAGATTGACATCTAAACAATTACTACTGAAATTCATTTGGCCTTCTTTGAAGAAAGATGTGAAGGAATGGACTCGAACTTGTCTTCCATGTCAACGTGCGAAGATTTCAAGACACACCAAGAATTCTCCAATTAAGATTGCAATTCCTGATCAACGCTTTCAGCATGTGCATTTAGACATTGTTGGACCACTTCCTATTTGTCAAAATTACCGTTATTGTCTTACTATGATTGATCGTTTTTCCAGATGGCCTGAAGCTGTTCCTATTTCTGAGATTTCTGCTGAAACTATTTCTACAACATTTTATTCACATTGGGTAGCACGTTTTGGTTCTCCTATCAGCATTACAACAGATCAAGGTCCTCAGTTTGAAGCAGCTTTATTCAAAGCTTTAACAAACCTAATTGGATGCCAAAGGATTAGAACTTCTGCTTATCATCCTGCTTCAAATGGAATTCTGGAAAGATGGCATAGGACTTTGAAAGCAGCGATTATGTGCCACGAAACAACCAACTGGGTAGAATCTTTACCTTCAGTTCTTTTGGGATTACGTTCGTGTTTCAAAGAAGATTTAAAAGCTTCACCTGCAGAACTTCTTTATGGATCCACTCTTCGTATTCCTGGAGAATTTTTCATTGAAGAAGATTTTCCTGCAGATCCTGAAATCTTTCTTGAAAAACACAGGATTCATATGAGGAATATCAGATCATCTCCTACAAGTCATCATTGCAAAAGATCACCTTTTGTTCACAAGAATCTTTTTGATTGTACTCATGTTTGGATTCGAGAAGATACTGTTAGGAAGTCACTACAACCTCCTTATTCTGGCCCTTTTCCTATTGAGAAACGTATCTCTGATCATTTATTTGCAGTTAATGTTTCAGGAAGAGTTGTCAATATTTCGACAGAACGTCTCAAGCCAGCCTTCATTCCTAGAACTTCAGATTCTACTGAACTTTCTACCAGATCTTCAGCTCCTGTTCCTGCTATTTCAACTCCTGTTCCTGCTATTTCAACTCCTGTTCCTGCTACTTCAGCTCCTGTTCCTGCTACTTCAGCTCCTGTTTCTGCTACTTCAAATCCTTCTTCTTCTTCTACTGTTGGAAAAGCTTTACGCACCTACCCACCAAAGAAGAAGAAAGTCCATTTCGCAACGAATATCGTCACTTGGGGGGGAGTACTGTAGCATTCATCATCCACACCTTTCATTTACACTCTACACTTTTATTACACCTTACACTTTTCACTGCACTTTTACACTTTTTACATCTTTATACATTTGTAATAACTTCAATTCATTAATATACATAATGTTTTTAAGAAAAATCAATATTTCCATAACAACACATTCATTCATTTATTTGTTACATATTAATTCTTTTTGTTCTTTCGCTTTATACTTTCAATGAATAAACATTACTTTTTCAAAGATCTGGTGAATTTATTTATAAGTCGCTACACAAGGAGAACCCTGCAGACTGTGCCTCCCGAGGGGTGTCACCGAAGGAGCTCCTGGAACATCATCTATGGTGGCGAGGGCCGGAATATCTCCGCCATCACGCGGACTTTTGGCCGAAGGACGTCAAGCTCTTGGAGACGGCCGACTTACCGGAGCAGAGACCGTTCCGATGCCATGCAGCCGCCGAGGAACGAGAAGCTGAGGAGCTCTGCCGCTTTTCCTGCCTTCGTCGCCTGCTTCGCGTGTCCGCCTGGATCTGGCGCTGGAGGGCACGAGGGCGTCACTCAGCAGACAGCGAAGCTGTGTCGGCCTCCTTGGAACCTGAGGAGCTGGAGGCCGCTCTATCTAAATGGATCCAGGTAGCTCAGGAGTCGAGCTACCATGCCGAGCTGCAAAACGTCCGTGCTGAAAGGACGCTGCCTGCCCGGAGCTCACTCCGCAAGCTGGTTCCCATATTGGACGACGAGGGCACCCTGCGAGTCAGCGGGCGTCTGAAACACGCAATTTTGGATGCCGATCAACGTCATCCTGCCATCCTACCGCCGCAGTCTCACCTGACGCACCTGGTGGTTGACGCCGCCCACAGGCGAACACTTCACGGCGGAGTCCAGGCCACCTTGGCTCATATCAGGCAGCGTTTTTGGATTTCGCGAGGACGTCAAGTGGTTCGCAGCCACATTCACAGTTGCCCCCCATGCATCCGATGGCGGGCGGCCACTCCACGGCCGAAGATGGCGACCTGCCAAAGCGCGCGTCACTCCGAGCCGCCCATTTCAGCACACCGGCGTGGACCTCGCCGGCCCGGTGTGGCTTCGAACGACGAGAGGCCGAGGACACAAGGCCTACAAGGGTTTTTTGGTGGTATTCGTTTGTTTTAGCTCCCGCGCCGTACATCTTGAAGCTGTCAGCGACTACACCGCCGAGGCCTTCTTAGCGGCCTTTCGTCGGTTCGTGTCCCGACGAGGGTTGTGCACAGTCGTGTATAGCGACTGCGGCACTAATTTTGTGGGCGCGGACCGACAGCTTAAGGCCCTTTTCAAGGCTGCTGGCCGTGAGATCCAGACCATTGTTGGGCACCTGGCAGACCGAGGAGTGCGGTGGAGCTTCAATCCACCGGCAGCTCCACATTTTGGCGGCCTGCGGGAAGCGGCGGTCAAGGCGGTTAAACACCACCTGAGACGCACCATCGGCGAGGCCAGACTGACCTTTGAGGAACTGTCGACGTTCCTCACAGAGGTTAAAGCCTGCCTCAATTCTAGGCCGCTCGAAGCCTTGACGGATGACCCTGACGACCTCCGTGCCCTGACGCCTAAGCATTTCCTGGTGGGAAGCCCTCTCCTCGCCATCCCGGAGCCGTCACTCCTGGACGCATCAGCCAACCGGCTGAATCGGTGGCGTCTCCTGCAGCAGATGCGGGATCACCTGTGGCAGCGGTGGACCCGCGAGTATCTACAGCACCTCAGCCCGCGGCCCAAATGGTGGGCCACTCGTGGAGCTATTCTCGAGGGCCAGTTGTGTCTGGTCAAGGGCGAGAATACCCCGCCGTGCCGGTGGCCGCTTGCTCGGATCACGCGCGTGCAACCCGGCATGAACGGGGAGATACGCGTGGTGGATGTCCGCACGTCCGTTGGCGAGTTAACCCGGCCAGTGGTTAAAATCGTACCACTGCCGACGGCTGCCGCCAAGGACCCAGAGCCACCCGCGTAAACCCCGTGCCGCGAGTTCCGTCGCGACTGTATATACTGTAAATAATAATCAAACGCATCATTATTCTTGTTCGTCGTCAAAAAACTGTAAAACATTGAGTCGTATACTCACTCTCGTCTCGCGCATCGTATTCTCCGCTGCATCTCAATGCTTCCTCCGTTTTAGCACCTCGAATAGACAAAATCGTTTGTCGCTCGTCGCGACGAGGCGAGCGGAATGTTGCGGATGAGAGAGAGAGAGAGAGAGAGAGAGAGAGAGAGAGAGAGAGAGAGAGAGAGAGAGAGAGAGAGTGTGTATGTGTGTGAGTGCATGTACGCATGCAGTGTGGAAAAGTGATATTTTTCAATATCAAATTCGGCGCGTCAATTTGCGCTAATCGCAAGGCACAAATCGCGCTGCGCGCGTTTCGCGCGCCAAACGCCTTCGGCTGTCGCCAGCCCGTTTACGCGGGCTGGCCAAACAAAAACAGAAAAGGGAAAACAGTTTTGTCCTCCGACACTCTAGAGGATTCCACATCATTACATTGCAAAATTACAAGTTCGGTAATTTTACATTGGAATCTTCTCGAAGGTCGGCAGGAAAAGCTGTTTTCCCGCGCGTCCTATTCTCACTCGCTTTGTCGCAGCTCGCACGCACAGACCGAGAGTTTCTTCGTTACGTTTTTCACAAAGTTCCGTGGTATCGCACTTCTCGCGAATACTTTATTCCTTGTCGATTGCACTTTTTGCAATCCGTGTATTTTTTTTATCACGCCACCTGTGCGCGACTCTCATTTCTTGTAGATAGTGAAAAATACAGTGCCGTTCTCATTAACCTTGTCTCCCTTCTTTTTTTGGTGTCGTTGTGCTGTGCTCCTTAGGTAATATCAATATTCACTCGCACACCGGTTCGCACTTCGCGTTGCCGCGAATTCGCACAGTTACTTTAAAAAATATATATATAATGTAAAAAAAATTTATAACAATTGAACTTCATAAATATTGAATAAGAATATAATCTATATATATATAAACATATATACACACACGCGCGCGCGCACACACACACACACACATATATATTTATATATATACAGAGTATCCCAAAAAGATCGGAACACTGAAAAATTTCGAAAAGTATACGTTTTACAGAAAAAAGTTTTAGACAAAAGTTGTGAAAAATCTATTTATTGATCTGATCAGTTTGACCTTGGACAGTGTTACCAAGGTCAGAATAAGTAGTCCCCCCCGTCGACCACCACCTTGCCGTGGTGGGGGGGCTCACCCTTCGCAAGGGAATAGCCTTGCGAGGGGTGCCAAGAGTGGTCGGTACCTCTCGAGGTACACTGCTCCCGGTCCGGGGGGCACGCCCTCCGTCTCTGGGGGCTCTCCTTCGGGGGGTGGAAGATTTCCATTCCCTGGGGAGACGGGGCCCACTTCCCCGTTAGAGCTTCGGCTTGTATGTGGTAAGGGATGGCGACCCGGAATTCAAACGCCCGGTGGCATGGCACCGTTAGGAGAAGGGACTGCACGGCTCTTCGGCGCTTCCCTTCCCACCATGCTCTGTGGCCCGACACGCCTGTCGGGTAGGCGGCTTTTGCCGCCCGGGGTTTCTCCCCCTCCGTCCTGGGGGGGGCTCGTTTCGGGGTTCATCTGGGGGGTTGGGGGGGTGGGCGTCGGCGGCGGGGGCCGCAGTGGAGGGTGCCGCACGCGATTACCCGAGGGGCTCTGCCCGGAGGGTTTCCCGAGGGGCTTTGCCCGGAGGGGGTCGCGCCGGCGGAGGGGTCAACATGGTCACCCGAGGGGCTTTGCTCGGAGGGTTGTCCCAAGGGGCTTTGCCCGGAGGAGGCGATGTTGATCGATCCTTGGGGCCTGTTCGTGGAACGGTTCCTGAGGACAGGGAGGTGCCTCAGAGTGCTGGTTGGGGGTCTCCAGGCTGGGTAGCCTGGGTCCCCGTCCCAGCGTCCCTGGGGTAGGCCGCACCCAGGCCGCTCGGACGTTTCCGAGGCAGGGCTGGGTCGGCGGAGACGGCCACGCGTGGTCACCCAAGGGGCGTAGCCCGGAGGGTTTACCCAAGGGGCACTGCCCGGAGGGGGCCACGCGGGTCGGCCGTCGAGGCCGCTCGGACATATTCCGAGGCGGGGCTCGACGGCGAGAGGGAAGCCGCAGAGTGCTGGCTGGAGAGCGTGCTCTCGTTCCAGCGTCCCTGCGACTAGCCATCCTCGGGCCGCTCGGACGTTTCCGAATCCGGGCCAAGGGTGGCGGTGAAGGCGAGTCGCGGTTACCCAAGGGGCATAGCCCGGAGGGGTTACCCAAGGGGCATAGCCCGGAGGGTGCCGCGGCCGCCTGCCGCCGGGCCGCTCGGACGTTTCCGAGGCAGGGCCCGGCGGCGAGAGAGGTTATCCCCGGTCGGTCGGGACCGTTTCCCCTTCCGAACCGACCGACCGGAGAGGCGCTTGCCCCTAGTCGAAAGCCTTCGACGAGGGGCGCCCACATATGCTGGTCGCCACGGCGTGTAGGGCAGGGCCGGGGAGCGGCGACCCTGTTCAAAGCGTCCGTGGAGCCCCCCGGGTGGCGCCGCCCGTCACGGTGCCCGCGTTGTCGGAGGCGCGGGACCCCTGAAAGCCCGTGTGGGCGTCAAATCCCACACGGGTGTGTAAGAGGCTCGGGGTCAGGCCGGGGTGCGGTATCCCCCCGGCCAATGATGTACGTCCTCTCCCCGGGGAACTCGGGGCCCGGTCTTGAGGTGTGGCCGGTCATGTTTCGGGGCACCTTTGGCCGGTGGGGGTATACCCTGGGGGACAGGAGCCGTGACGGGAGAGTGGGATTAACTAAGATGAATAGTGACTCAAACAACATTAATGATAACAAGGACGGAGCCAATGCGCAGAAGGACGTGCAGGAGGTGCGTGGGAAATACACCCACACCCACGAAGAAGAGATGTATCTTTGGCAGGGGGAGGTACTCAAATCAGCCATGATACCGCTGATAGACTGTGTCAAATATGACTCAAATAACAGCCTCTCTTCAACATGCTCGAAAAGATCGAGCCAAAAGAAGGGCAAGGTGGGTCCTGCACAAAGACGCCAGAAGGCCATAATGGAGCGGGAAAAGGCGAGAACTGGAGCGCTCGCCCAATGGAGGAAGATCAGAAGCCGTTACCGGAACTGACACCGAGATAGACACAGATATTCTATCGTGTGAAGAGGAAGGCAATACCAAAATGCCTGCAACAAACAAAAATGATGATGAAAATATCATTATTTTTAATGAGGAAAAATTTCTGCCCTTCCGCACCAAGCCATACATGTTAGCACAGGAGCAGAAAGGTAAGAACAAAGCCAAGGAGGAACAGGCACTAATACAAATGCCTACACCCAGCCCGGCATTACCACCGATACCGGCACCTAGGAAAAGAGGTCGGCCAGTAACCACTGGCGAATATGAAAAGGTGAAAACTGCAAAGGCTGCGAAAGAGGCATTGCGGAATGAAGAGGAAGAAGCGCGCCTAGAAAAGGAGATCCTGGATCCCTTGCAGGAGCCACACCCGGGAAAGTCGTATTACGACTTCCTGGAGAGAATAAAGGAGAAGGGGGAGGAATTTTACATGAAAACAACCCACGACCTAGAGGCTATTGCCTCAGAGAAGGCGGCGGCGATTTACAAAGTAGCCGCGGTATCCAGGAATATAAAAGGTCCTTTGGTAAAACATGCCAAAAATGCAGCCGCAGATATGTGCGCGGTTGCAACGACACTGGCTCTAAAGGCGCAGAACCCGACAGACCCCGGTCGAAAGTCAACTGAAGGAACTACGCCTTCAAGTTCAACAACTGATAATGGAAAAGCAGCAGCTCGAGAGGGCACTGGAGCGAGCAAACAGAGCTAAACACCGCCCAAAACCATACCTGGACACATCGGAAGAGGAATGCGAACCGCCCAGCGAAGACAGCGTGGGGAAAAGGATAAAAACAAGGAAAAGGATTGGCGGAGCCCTACTTCCACCTAGGGGTGGGGGGGTCCCGTCAACCCAGGGAACCAGGACTGACAGGGAAACTCACTTCCACCCAGGGGTGGAGAGGCCTCCAGATAGAGGACATTGAGATGCGGGGGATCTCGCCTCCACCAAATGATGGGGAGATCCCGAGCACCTCAGGACTAGGAAGGAGGGGAACAAGGGCTCGAGTGACGAGAGAATGGATGTCGGCGAGGGGAGATGCATCCATATACCCACAACCCAGTGAGAGCCCCACACAAACCGAATGGGACTGTGTATATTAAAAAAGAGAATAAGGAATACATAGTCCCACGGAATGAGAGAAGAGGAAGAAAACAAGGAAAGGGAAAAATTCATGGCCATGGTGGCCATGATCGAGGGAGTGGTCGTGAGGGAGCTGGACAAAATTGGGATGTCCAGCTCCCTCACTCAGGGAAACCCTCAAGCATGGAGGAGGGGGCGGCGTGCAGGCGCGACAGCAACAGAAGCCCGCCGCCACTAAGCCAACCATTAAAGCTATGGAGGTCGTGAGAAAGACGGTCAAAGTGGTACCCGCTACTACACTAAATCCGCCTTCTAACGCGGCAACCAAAAGGATCACTGGACCAGCCAACAAGGAGGCGCAAAGGAGCAAGAGGGAAGCTCTACTTCACAAAAGCAGAAGGGGAAAACAGCTGCACCTATAAACACGGAAAAGAAGGGAGGGGCACCCACACCACAGGCCCCCCCAAGACTACAAGCCTCTTCAAAACCACCAAACAAGGAGACGAAGCGCCTCCTAGAGTAAAGTGGTATCCAGAAGGAGAGGAGGGCAAGAACAACAGCGGACAGGAGGGAGAGCGCCGCGGCAAATATAAGAGAGAGGGGAGGCAGAACAACCAAAACAGGTACGAACTCCCCCCCTTCTCAAAAACACCGGCGCAGACATCCGCCAAAGGAGCAGGAAGGAGCCCAGGAGAGCGGCCGTGACCATCACGTGCCCTCCCGGCACTTATGAGGAAACTCTCCGGGAGGCGCGGATGAAAGCGGACCTCAAGGGCCTGGGAATAGAGGGGGCCAATGTGAGAAAAGGAGCATCAGGCTCCTATATTCTCGAGATTTCCGGGCCCGACGGGAAAGAAAAGGCGGATAAACTTGCCCTCGAGCTGAAGAGGGTGCTAGCAAACAAGGAGGGCGTGAAAATACAGCGCCCGACCAAAATGGCGGAGCTTAGATTTCGGGGGTTGGACGAGTCTATACGGACCCCCGAAGTCCGAGAAGCAATTGCCAGAAATGGCAATTGCGAGGAAGTCGACGTACACACCGGGGAAATAAAAAAAACCCCCGGTGGTATGGGAATCGTGTGGGTTCGCTGTCCACTAAGGGCAGCAAACCTGATCATGAAACAGGGACGGTGAAGATAGGATGGCGATTGCGCGCGCGGAACTGCTGGAGGCCAGACCCCTCCAGTGCTACAAGTGCCTGGAGAGGGGCCACGTGCGCGCGCGATGCCCCAACAACACCGACCGCAGCGGTAGATGCTACCGCTGCAGCACGGAGGGACACCACAGCGAGGAACTGCGTAGCCGACATGAGATGCCCGGTGTGCGCGGATAAAGGGCTGCCCGCGAACCATAGAGCGGGCGGCAAAGCGTGCACGCCGGTGCACAAAGGGATAAGGGGCATCCCGCTCAACAAGGTAGCGGGACCCCCCAAAGATGCGGCCCAGATCGTCCTCACCGGCCCCCTCACAAGCTTTGCGGACGAGCCCAAACAACAAAGGACTCTCCGCTCCAGATCGAGGGGTGAGAAAAGAGGAGAAAAGGAGAAGCTCCCAACAGAAGGAGAGAGGAAAAAAAAAGTTACAGGAGGACCTAAAAGAGGGAGACCCCACCACAATGGACACAACGGGGCCCGCGGAGAGCAAGCGAGAAAAGATGGCCTGTAAGATACTGCAGGCCAATACTAACCACTCGGGGCCGGCTCAGGATCTCTTCGCAAAAACAATGGCGGAGAGAGACTGCGGCCTGGGGATCGTGGCGGAGCCGTACCGTGTGCCCGATAACTGGATGGGCAGTGCGGACGGCGCCGTCGCGATCGTCCAGAAGAACGCGACCAACTCTCCCCCGACAGAACTTCTAAAGTCGGAGGAGGGTATGATAACAGTAAGATGGGGGTCCACCATCGTGATTGGCGTGTATCTTCCGCCGAGTCTCAACGGAGAAGACTTCTGCGGGAGACTGCACGCCATGGAGAGGCAGATCCTAGAATATCACCCTGCCCCGATAATCGTCGCCGGGGACTTCAATGCCAAATCGGGCGTCTGGGGGTCCTCGCGCGGCGATTGGCGGGGTGATCAGGTTTTAAATTGGGCGGCGCGGTGTGGGCTCCTCCCCTGTAATAGGGGGAGAAGCCCACATATGTCAGAGGGCAGGGGAGTCAATCATAGACCTAACATGGGTCACTCCTTCTGCCTCCGGGCTGGTAAGCGGATGGAGGGTGCTGACGGAGACAGAAACGATATCAGACCACAATATATCGAGTCTCTCCGTCGGCGCCTTTCCCCGCGAAGTAATAAAGCGCCGCCGCGAGAGAAAATCTGCCTCTCGAAGGTGGACCCTGAAAAAGTTAGATCAGGACGCGTTCTTGGCCGCGGTTGAGGCGGCCCTGATGGTTAGAGGAGAGAAAGAAGGGGGGGTTCAACCAGAGGAGGAAAGGACATGGCTGCTGCGGACTGTCAATGACGCATGTGACGCAGCCATGCCCAGAACAAAAAGGAAACCCCCCCGAACAACTTACTGGTAGTCGGAGGAGATTGCCGAAGCAAGGCGCTCCTCCGACCAAGCAAGAAGGCTAGTGAAGAGGAGAAAAAGACTCAAGCGGTCAGACCCCGAAAGGTATCAGGACGCGTGGGACATCTACAAAGCAAGAAGGGATGACCTACGCGTCCTGATAAAGAAGGCTAAGGCGAGAGCCTGGGAGGAACTACTCTCCCACCTGGACGAGGACTCGTGGGGGCGCCCATATCGAATAGTGCTGAAAAACTAAAAGAGAGGGGCGCCCCTACAACAGAGTCCTTGGACCCCCAGTTCGTTGGCCAGTCGTCGGAACCCTGTTCCCGCGGAAAGAGGGTCCAGCGAGCCCGATTCCTGAGCGGGAATGGGAGTGGACGAGGAGGCCATGGGGGTCACGGAGGGAGAGCTCCGCGATGCCATCAGAAAATAAAACCCGGGAAAGCTCCGGGTCCTGATGGCATACACGGGAGGATATGGGCTCTCGCCTACAGGGGTCTAGCTGGACCCATGCGGAGGCACTCGTTATACATCCTCCGCATGCGGAGGATGTATAACGAGTGCCTCCGCATGGGTCGTTTCCCACGAGAGTGGAAGGAGGCAAGGGTAGTCCTCCTTCCCAAAGAGGGCAAGCCGAGGGACAACCCTCGGCGTATAGGCCAATTTGCTTGATAGACGAGGCGGGTAAAATACTAGAGAGAATAATAGCGGACCGCCTCGTCTATTGTCCCGGGAAAACCAAATCTGAGCCAGGATCAATACGGCTTCCGGGTCGGACGATCCACGATCGACGCGATCTTGCGGGTTCGTTCGATCTCGGACGCCGTAACGGAGGAGGGCGGGGTGTTAATGGCGGTATCGTTGGACATATCCAACGCCTTCACACCCTGCCATGGCACCGGATAGGGGCGGCCCTAGAACATCATGGAGTCCCCAATATCTTGGTGTTGATCCTGGCGGACTACTTCCGGACAGGCAATTGGCCTATACAGATAGGAATGCCGAGGAATAAAGGCGTCATATGACATGCGGGGTTCCGCAGGGGTCGGTACTTGGGCCCCTGCTATGGAACCTTGCATATAACGCCGTTCTTCGGCAAGCCCTCCCCCCTGGTTGTCACACGGTGTGTTATGCCGACGACACACTGGTGATAGCCGGGAGGAACTCGTGGGAACAAGCGGCCGCTCGAGCAAACTTGGCGGTGAACCGCGTCGTGCGTTTGGTTAGGCAGATGGGACTCAAGTGACGCCCCAAAACCGAGGCCATCTTTTTCATAATGGCTCTCACGGGGCGCCGCCAAGAGCCCACATCTGCGTGGAGGACACCCCAATAGAGGTGGGGCCTGCTTGAAATACCTGGGCCTTCACCTCGACAACAAGTGGACCTTCCAGGAACACTTCCGCCGCATATTCCCCAAAGTAGAGAGGGCAGCGATGGCGCTGCAGCGCCTGCTGCCCAATCTTGGGGACCGGGCGGGAGTGTGAGGAAGCTGTACGCTGGGACGGTACACGCCATGCTCCTGTATGGGCCCTGTATGGTCTGAACGCCTGGAGGCTGCCCGCAGCACAAAGAATACACTAAGGCAAGTGCAGAAGCGGGTAGCCAATAGGATATGCAGGGGCTACCGTACGATGAACTGGACGGCGGCGGGGGTGCTCTCCGGAGTACCCCCCGTGGAGATGCTCGCCCGCATGTACGCGGAAGTATACACGCGCACGCGTGCGTACCAGCGGGCGGGCATCATCTTGACGGACAGTCTCCGGCGTACAGTGAGGGTCCACTCCCGACGGGCGCTAATACAAAAACGGGAAGGAGGCCCTGGCAGATCCAACACTGCCGGGGGCGCACCGTCGGGGCTATACGGCCCCCTGTCTAGAAAGTTGGCTAGAGGGTGAGGGAGGGGTGTCCTTCCATATAGACGCAGGTGCTCACCGGACATGGATGTTTCGGTGAGTACCTGCAGAGGATAGGAAAGGAACGCACGACGCGGTGTCACCATTGCGGCCACGAGCGGGACACGCCCAACACACACTCGCAGAGTGTGTGGCTTGGGCGGATGAAGAACGGAGCTCGTGGCCGCAGCAGGAGGAGATCTGTAATTGCCCTCACTTGTGGGGGCAATGACAGAAAACTAAGGACATTTGAAAGGCG